GAAAATTTTACGCAAATCGAACGAGCCATCTCCGAGAAATCTTCTGCACAAATTTTGTAAGAAGAAAAAAGAATAAAAATAATAATAATAATAATAACTAGATACGATCTCGTTGCGAGCAACGAGTGGGTCTTCCGTCCGATTCTTGATAAGATGAGATGAGATTTTGATTGAGAATTTCATTCTAAAATAATGATAAAAATTTTGAAGAAGAACGATTTTGCCTCTATAATCTGTAAACAGACATTGAACATAAAGACTTTAAAAGTCGACTTTTGCCCCTCACGGCCCCTAATATTAAGGATTAGCCCTTTTTCTTCATATCATCTTAAAGCCCTCAGGATTTTGAACACTTTTCGTTCAACAACTATTTAGAGATTCTCTTTCGTTTTCGAGTTATTTGAAAAAGAAATATTTAGGGGCCAACCTTTCAACTCCTTAATGGGGACATTTAGCGAAAAATGAAAGGTTGAATATTGTTCAAAACATTATTTTGAACATCTTTTGTTCAATACTACTAATAAAAATATTTCAAACGTCTGAGATATAAAGCGTCAAAGATTAAGCATTCTGGCCCCTTGTGGCCCCTTATTATGCACCATACGACATTCAAAAAATAATAAATAGTTTTAGATTGTTGAGATAAACATCATTGCTTCAGTAATGTTTAACAAAATATTGACTGCTAAAGAGTTATCGATTAAAGATTTTTGGCCCCTCTCAGCCCTTAATTTGAGTGTCCAGCCCCTTTTTTCTCGTTTCATCTTAAAGCTGTCAGGATTTTGAACACTTTTTGTTCAACAACTATTTAGAGATTCTCTTTCATTTTCGAGTTATTTGCAAAAGAAATATTTAGGGGCCACCCCTTCAACTCCTTAAAGGGGACGTATAGCGAAAAACTAAAGGTTGCATATTCTTCAGAACATTATTTTGAACATCTTTTGTTCAATATTACTTATCAAAATATTTCAAGCTTTTGAGATATAAAGCGTCAAAGATTTAGCATTCTGGCCCCTTGTGGCCCCTAATTATGTATCATACGACATAAAAATCATAATATATAGTTGTAGATTGTTGAAATAAACATTCTTGCTTCAGTAATGTATAACAAAATATTAACTGCTTAAGAGTTATCGATTAAAGACTTTTGGCCCCTCTCAGCCCCTAATTTGAGTGCCCAGCCCCTTTTCCTTGATCTTTTCTAAAAGCTCTCAGGATTTTGAACACTTTTTGTTTAACAACTATTCAGAGATTCTTTTTCGTTTTCGAGTTATTTGAAAAAGAAATATTTAGGGGCCAACCCTTCAACTCCTTAAATGGGACGTATAGCGAAAAACTAAAGGTTGTATGTTGTTCAAAACATTATTTTGAACATCTTTTGTTCAATACTACTTATCAAAATATTTCCCACTTTTGAGATATAAAGCGTCAAAGATTTAGCGTTCTGGCCCCCTGTGGCCCCTAATTATGTAACAGACGACATAAAAATTATGATATGCAGTTGTAGATTGTTGAGATTAACATTTTTGCTTCTGTAATGTCTAACAAAATATTGACCGATCAAGAGTTATCGAAAAAAGACTTTTGGCCCCTATTGGCCCTTATTGTGATGAGTCAGCACTTTTTTCTTGATATCATATTAAAGATCTTGTCATTTTGCACAAATTATGTTCATTATGTTTTGACAAAATAATCATACTTTAAAAGATATGATGCAAAATGTCTCAAAAAATCAGTCGTGATTCGTGTCCTAAATTTTGACCCCTACCGAGCTTCCATACTAGGCACTTCCGGAAAATTTCCTGACCATGTTGCAATATGGCAACATGTCCTCTATCATCCCTGAAAAAATCAGCTTTCTAGCTTGAGCCGTTTTTGAGTTCCATCACAGACATGGAGGTCATCAAAATTTTGATTAAAGGGCGATTACTCTCGACCGGAAGTGAATTTCAAAAAAATGAAAAATTAGTATAAGGTTTAGATAAAGATACACCTTCTCCGCAAATTTCACGTAAATCGGTCGAGTCATCTCCGAGAAATCTTCTGCACAAAAATTGTAAAGAAAAAAAAAATAATAAAAGTGAAAAAGAAACAATAGAATAATAGTAGGGTCTTCCGTTGGAGACGGAAGACCCTAATAAAGGTAAAAAAGAAACCGAAGAATAATAGAAGGGTCTTCCGCTGAAGACGGAAGACCCTAATAAAAGTGAAAAAGAAACAATAGAATAATAGAAGGGTCTTCCGCTGAGACGGAAGACCCTAATAAGAATTAATTATTAATAAATTTGCTCAAGTATCGTCTCTCAGTGGGCCTATTTTGTTCATCGGAACCGTCTGCTTTGCCGCTGTTTGGTTTTTGTTTACTTTATACTGTGCAGCAGTGCTATTTATAATAAAACAGTCGATCACGGTGCCTACAACCGGGCTTTGCTTTCGGCAAATCCCGACTAAAAAGGTAACATTTGCATAGATAATATAATATTAAATTATTTCCTTTGTTTCCTCAGAGACAGAGACTTCGCTTTTTTGTTTACAGGTGAGAGCTAATCCTAACCTACGTTGTATTGTTCCAAGTGTACAGATGAAGAAATAACTCCGTATTGACTGCGTAATTATTTTCAGTGATCGTGTACAAGTATTACACGCCCTCGGGTGAGAGATCTAAGAAAATCATGCACCAGGTTCATTGAAATATTTTCAGAGGTGGGGAACTTCAAAATACAAGACTAGAAATTCTTAAGACTATTCTTTGTTAAAATTTATTTAAGAATTATTTGACAAATCCTGTATTCATAATACTGTATGACGACGGATTGCCCTTAGTCTTAGAACAAGGGAGACAACTTCAATTTTCTTTTGAATTGCATACACAACAAATAGCTAAAAACATAAAATATTTTTCATATGCAAAAAAAAAAAAAAAAAAAAAAAAAAAAATTAAATTAAAAAAAAATGATAATAATGAACATTATTGTGACAAGATTGATATATAAATGTATTTAAGTTTTGATAATTTTACAAATTGCTTATTAGGAAAAGATTAATAAGTTGCAAAGGTAGTGGCGACCTTTTAACTTTTTATTCAATTAGATATTTTCTACATGATTGTATTTCATCCCACTAATGTATCTAGAATTAATTGTGCATGGTAAAAACAAGATGTGGTTGTGAATCATTGTTCACCCGGCGGCAACAAAGTTCGAAAAAGATATTTTAGCATATAGGTCACAGTCAAGGTCAGATGGTCATTGACCTCTGTGTTATTTGAAAGAACTTCATTAGTGAAGTAAGCATACCAAATATAAAGTCTCTATCTTTCATGGTTCAAAAGTTTAACAAAGGTTAAGGTTTGCAGACAAACAGACAAAAAGACAGGATAAAACAATATGCGTCCCAAACCTTTCCATCCGGGTGCATAAAAATAACCCCCATATTGAATTCTACCGAAAACAGAGGTCGACTTAACCTGTTATAGGTGCTTAAGTAATATACCAATGTACAATGGTAAATGATTGGCAGTTCTTTTTTTTATATCAGCAAAGTATATTTAATTTTAGGAAATATGTTAATGACAAGTGTTATTGGCAAAATATTATTTAACTTCCAATTTATTTCATTTTGTCAACTAGATAAAATAATGCCATATTTTCAGAAGGTAAAACCGTAACTATTTATCGTTATAGCATGTACTTCACCAGTCCCCGGGATCATGAGACATCTTTAGCTTTAATCAAAATCTCTATATTGTTTTTAAATGTTATAGAAGTCAAACTAGACTTTACTGTAAAATTACATATTTTCGAGAGGTTTTCGTGGTTTGAAGAAAATGTATTGGTTCATGGGGATATGATTTCGTGGTTGAAGAACTGATCCATAGAACTAGATTTGCAAAATTGCATTTCGTGATGGACATAAATTCATTTGTGTTTTTCAATATTGCTTCACAAAAGTCGTTTTTTTTTTTTTTTTTTTTTTTTTTTTTTAAATTTATAGATCAATTCAATAGTTAATAAATAGTTAACAGGGATGAAGGATATGGAGATAAGGAAAAGTATTCAATCTCAAAGTCCATAAAACAATACAATATAGGAGCAGAGCAAACACGGGCCTCCAAAACATCAGAGGTGAGATTAGGTGCCATGGATGAGCGAGCATCCCCTGTCGACCGGTCACATCCGCTTTGTGCTTCATGTCATGATTGTCATGAATGACGGGAAAATCCGTCATCATTTCAGTGTATAAATAATGGACTAACAATAAGTATGAAAAACGTCAGCCAGTATTTGACTCAATGATAAATTGTATTTGCTGGCAAGGTCATGATATCAACCATAGAACTTACGAAATGATTTCTTTAAACGTACGAGACTGCTGATAGTCTTGTTTTGTCTCATCAACTTGCTTGTTTGCCTCGTTTTAGAAATAGTTCATACGTAGAGTATGCTGTAGCGTATCGAATCAACTGAGATATGTAAACTTCGTATGCAGGTGTTGAAGATATGTAGGTAATCAAATATTTTTTGCAGGTCTAAGTCTGCCTCAAGTTCCGTGGGCCAGAGTACAAGAGACACAATCTTATAAAACGTTTTTTTAATTTGAAAGTCAAAATCTTATTGTACATTGAAAAAAGAAATGAGATTGTCATTCAACAAAATAATTACATACGACATACACGTACGAGCGTATATTATCATTAATCATCTGCATATGTATGAAAATACTAATTCTGTTAAAATTTTTGAAATCATTCCAATAAATTTATAGATATTTTGTTAAGCATTTGTACGAAGTAAAAATAAGACAATATATTACTTATGAACAAACGAACGGCATTGATTGATAAAATATAGAATTCAGAGGGTATGCTGCCAAAAGTATATGCAACACGATCATTACTATAGATATAAATTAGTTGAGTTTCATCTTGTATCAAACACATTTGTGCAATATAAATATAATATGATTTTTTCTATTTTCAAATATTAATGAAAGTTACTTACTGCATTGTTCTGTTTTCAGTACAACGAATTGCCGAAACTGAATACTTCAAGAACAAATGAGAATGTAGCTGTTTGCCGGCTGTTTCAAGCCTTTTTATATCTGATGGTTAATACTTCCTGATTAACAAACTGCATTGATTGGTTGTAATTTGTGCAGCACGGTATCACATGTACTTCGTCTTGTATGCAAGAATGTCTGGAGCAAGGTTAAAACATACCCATTCTTTCGAATTATTTCAATCAAATGTTCATACATTCTCAAAGATCGTTATTTGATGTAATGAAATCCGAAACTTAAATTTTTGATTTCTCGATATACAATAATTTCTTAATGAAAATTACAATTGTCAATATTCTTTCCCATGTACATTTTATATACGGAAATATAATTAGACACGTTTCTCAGCTCAGCGGGAAATATTTCTTTCATATTCAAAAACTCTTCTAAATTTTAGATCTGTATCTTGTTATGTATTTTAGGAGATAAAATCCAGCAGGCTCCAGCGCGCAACTTTGGATTAATATAGAAAAAAGTGATATAAACTTTTCTACGTCGAACAACTTATTACTTCAAGTTTGTTTTTACTCTGAGGTTTAAGCGTTGAAAGATCGATATTTTTGCAACCCTAAAGATTAAAAAAAGTGGTCGTTTCCTTGTGGTTTATAATCTTATAAAAATATTAAATCATAATATATTTACGCTAAATTTAAGAGAAACGTTTACTGCCCTATAAAGAGATTACAGGGAAAAGGTAAATTCATATTTCTATGAACCATATATTGCGTCACAGTCCAGTAAGTTTTAAAGGGTTAATCCTGGATTATCAGTTTCTGCTTTTTAAGTTTGTTCTCTTTTCACGGATTTGGATGAAATGTTATTTCTCTACTTCCGGTACAACATTTTATTCTTGTTACAATATGCATGTATATTTGTTGTGAAGAGACGAAGTTTATAGAAAGGTTCAATTTCAATCAAGGGTATATGTGGATTAACCTCGAGCTGAATTCAAAACACTGCAATTATGGTCATATAATGCAACTGTTGAGTGCAGGTTTACAGAAAGGGAAAACCGAGAGTATGTAAATATTTAGGTTTGAATGTGAATACTCTAGCATATACAAAATTAAAATAAATATACAGATATGTATTTGTTTCATGTATTTATGCTTTGTTGTTAATCTCCATTTAATATATTCATTGGTATATAAAATTAGATGGCAGTTGGCTGTAGGTTCCATCGACAATCTTCAGACTTGTATTCAAATTAGAAATATCCCTTATCCTATAAAAATTACAAAAGAATGCAAAATTCTTCTGTACGTTCAACTACATAGATTACGTAATATCACTCCTCTTAAGTAATTATTCATAATTACTTAATATGAATTTAAACACATAGCCCGATGTAAATCGTTTTTATATTTCAAATGGGACAAGAAACTACAGGTATTGTTTTTCAATTATTCATAATATATTTTCATTTTTTCAGAATTAAAATATCATATAATAATGTTCAAATTTTCCTTTTTATGGCCTTTGATTTGACAAGTTTCTTATTCATAATATCAATGTAATCATTGGAGATCTGGCCTTCCTACAAACCGTTGGAAATCCCATAGATACTAATAATAATTGTACCCTATATTCATTTACAGCTTGTTTTAATTTTGTTTTTGGGCCGATTTTGACTGGCATGTTTCACACAAAAAAAGTGTAAACGTTTTGATTGAATTTTACTATACCGATTACTCCCTTTACTTGATCAATGCATATGGCATCCAAATGCAACATGTACAACAAATGTGACCGATTGACAGGAGACCCCTTTGCACCCAACCTCACCATCTGGCGATAAAGTTTAAGTACATATACTTTTAGTATTTATTTAATTTCTTTATAGAAACGATAAGAAGTGGTTCAATGAAATTCACTTTAAAACAAGATTTCATATTATTCGAACATACAAACAAGCATAGTTCAAGTACTGCGTATAATACAGAGACGAAATTATTTTATTCTGGTGCAAAAAGATATATAAAGTTCTGCTCATTGACACATAAAATTTCTTGAGTTTTTAGTTCCTTTGTTATGAGGAATAAAATCATTTCAAGAAAATGTACACATCATCCTTTCTCGAGATTACAGCTTTCCTAATATGATTTAAGGATTCCCTCTTTTATAATCTCTGCTTTCGGCAATCTTACACTTTATTTTCATTAACTTAGATACATATTTTTTTCATATTCATGTACAAACACACATTTAATTTCACATTCTTTCTCAAATGAGTTTGATCTGTTACCGTATAGCCGGTTTTTTTTGGCGGGACACAAATTTGGCGATTTTAGGTTGTTAAGGTATATCATTAATTTTGGTGGATAATATTTTGGTGAATTTAAATTTATTACCATTTAGTTGCAGGTAAAGAATGCGCTCTTGTTAAGATTGCACACCCTCCCAAACTTGCCAAAGTGTCGGGAAATCCTCGGAAATACGCAGATACTATTGTTAAATAACACCCCATATATGGAAATTAATATGTAGCTCTTATTTGAACTGCACAGATAATGTAAAGAACATTTCTAAAGAAGTAAAATATTTGTATTAAATAGAAAAAGAAAGTAGGATACTAACTTGTTTTTTCTGTAGCTAAATCCGTTTATATAATTATACATTTTGCTGACAATGCATTGCAAGCGCTGTCTGTGTTTACGTAAACAAACCATCCCAAGCGCAATTACTTTCACACAGGTATTAATTGATACCAGTTATTCAATTATACCAAGTACATGTAGTTTAAAACATTAATTGTTGAAAAAACTTCACTGGTCATGAGTGTGCCGTATAAATGACAGATGATTCGAACCCATTGTTTAGCAACCAATACAGCTTTATAACTTGAGGGTCAATTGGAGTAAAAGTTTTGGCAGTGATGAAATCCAAATTAAAAACAATAAACTTATAGAACTAAATATTTTTGTTTCATCAAAATAATGTCAGTATAGATAACTATATCTTTATTTATAACTATTTGTTGACTTATTTACCGGTGATAACTCTACCGATGATTTTCCGTAACCATGCAAAAATAGGGAATTTACAAACGCAAGGTGTGTAGGCTAGAAATTTAGCGGTTTTTATTTTGGTGAATTTTTATAAATCGCCAAAATAGGCCAAAATTATATCCCAGCCAAAATAACCGGCTATACGGTATTTTATGGATAATCCTATAAAATGGTTTTCAACAAATTTTAGCCGGGCATTGATATTGTTCAAAGTAGTATCTTCACATTATGATGCCTTCAAAAATGATTTTGTCGCTCAGGGAAATTTAATGTGATGAGAGACATGAAATCAAATGATATGTTTCAAAACATTGTAAATAAATAACCCTGCAATAAAAATAAAAAAATACTAAAACTTTTTGCAGTTAGGTTTTAAATTAAACATATGTATTTTGTTCAGATCCACACCTAATTTTTTTAATTAGAGATAACGTCAACGTAGGTAGATAAGATTTAAGGTTATGACGTATCAACCATCTATATTTATATCATTACAACGGTAAATTTTTAAAAGCATCTGAATTAAAATTGGTTATATTTGAAATTTCATTATAACACGATAATATGCTGAAAGTTTAAAATGCTATAAATAAAATAGGACACATTTACTTCTAGTATTTTATCACCATATATTTCTTCAATTTGTCTTTAATATGTGTGTTGCTTTCCAAAACATGATTGAACGAATAAACTTCCTTAAGGGAAGTGTATATCAATACTTCCAAATGGATTTTTTCTTCATCCAATGGTAGAAAGTAACTTTATTCATATTATGATAAAATAAAAGTCTGCATCTCAAGATATATGCATCAAAATAATGCTTGTTCTTGCTTAACACGTTAAATTCGGCGAACATTATCGAAGCTGCCAGTGCATGGTAAACAAAGTAATACAGGGAGTTATGTTTGTACAGGTAGATAAATTCGCCTGATGCCTCATATAAAATCAATAGTGATCGGTCGAAGCCGATTACAAAAATGCTTATCGTCGTGGTAGCTCATTTACTAGAGCCAAAGCCTTGTGATCGAAGGGTCATTGGTTCTAGTTTCAGCAACTACAAGGCCCCTGACTAATAAGATGATTATAAAGGAATTCAGGCTTGCCTGTTAAAGGCAGCAATACACAAAGTCTATGGCTTTTATAAATCATGTTTGAAAACACGTTTTGCGGGACTATTTGATTGGCATGTTTCACATGCAATCAAAAAAAAAAAAAATTTTTTCCGATATCGATTTAGACTAACGATTACTCCTTTTACAAAATGTTGATTTGTGTGGGATTTTTTCATGGTATTCATACGATTTTTCACTGAATCCAATATTTTCATCTCATAAATTTATAGAAATATTTATAATACGCAATGCTTGTAAGAACACGTTGAGTAAGATTGTGTTTCGGTTTCGAGTACATATTTACCGCTTTTAGAATAAGTGGCTGCACTTAACATGCTTAATAAAGACTTCAATTCATGTCACATTGAAACAGTATGCTATATTTAATGCAGGAAGTCTGGCGAGAACCTTCAAGTACATACACATAATCATTCAATTTCTTTTAAGGCACGAGACGATTCGTTTAATGAGAGCCACCTTGACACAAGTGTTTATTATATTATGCAGAGACGAAATAATTGTACACTTCATGCAAAATGATCGATAACGTTGTGCTTATTTACACATATATTTTCCATGCATTTTTATTTTCATGTATAGAGAAACAAAGTTAAAGCTGAACACTTCCCATAAATAGGCACTGTCAGACGGGTATATAAACCGTTCGCTTTCGTTACACCCGATTGCACACTCGAAACTCGTGGCCGACATGTAGTATTCCTATCGTTGTCTTAGATTTTTTGCGTTTATTTCTTGTTTTCATGTGCATTTTCTGTTTGTAAATAATGTATTGACCTGTATTTTCCATGATACTTTTATCCTGTTTAGGACAAAATACGTAAAAATTGATAATTTCATCGATATTGAGTAGTTATACTTTGTA